TTGACTAATATGCAAAGGGTCCCGAGTTCGAATCCGCTCCGAACCGACACACTCCATATGTCTGCTGAAAAATTGTGTAGAAGGAGGAAGATGGAGTCAGAAAGAGGAAAGGAGAGTAGAATTAGTTAAAGAGAAGAGGAGAAAGAAGATATTAAGAAGGAAAAGGAGAAGGACACAATAAACTAACTTTATTCTTTTAAGACATCATTATTTACCAATATCACCATCGCGTTTGTATTCTTCGGCAACCTGCTGCATATCCAAGTAAGCCTTTTGAAATTCTTGGAATATCCTGTTTCGGGAAACAAAGTTACGATATTGTTCCAGCATTTGATGCACCTTCTCTTCCGTGCCGTATTTGATGTTCCAACCTTTCAGCTTGGTCTCGACGAGATACAAAAAGGCGATCAGACAGCATTTATGTTCTAAGAACTTTAATCTTAATCTTCTCTTGGCAGCGCGATTCGGCAAACTGTCTAATCGCGCAGACATGTTCTCCAATTGTTCAGACTGGATTTGTCGCGCTAATGGCGAGTTTTTGGCGTGCTGGAATTTCTCTGACATGGTCGGTAAATCTAAGAAGAACTTCTTGTGATCTTCCAGTTTGTTCGAAATTATGTTCGCTGTGCTCTCCGTCATTTCCTGTGGTATATCATTATCCGATCGCAAGAGAGCCTCGGCTCTTGCCAACCAGCTGCCAATTTCACCCAATTCTCCTGGTAATGTTGAATCCAACAACCAACACCAATGTAGCATCTAAAGACAAATATAATATTTTCTAAAAAAAGTTGTTACAACGGAAAATTCCGTGTTCGCGCTCATTTAGAAAATCTAAAAGAAAACTTACAAATAGTTCCATTTGCTGCCACAACATTTGTATATCTCTCCAAGAATCCCGCGTAATGCTTATCATGCTGAGTGTATTGACTAAACTTTGCAATTTTTTATATAGAATTAATTTCCGATCAATCTCTGTTTGGAATAGCATATATTCCTGAAAGAAGATACCATCAGATAAATCATATTAAATAAAATTATACAAAATTATATATTGAGGATTAAAGAGCCTTGAAAAAATACCGGATAACTTTGTGGGAAAGAATTGGTTCTGTCAAGTTGTTCGAGATGCCTGACTTTCTTGTTTAGCCAATTAAGAAGACTATCGTATTCTTCTTGTACGACAGCGAAAGAATCAGGAGCTACGTTTCCTGGTTCCGGATATTTGTGCAAAAATTGGGCGACGTATGTCATGATCGATTTTTCATCAGGTTGAGGAACGTCTACATCTTCGGGATCCAACAATCGAGCAATACCTAATTCGTCTTCGGCGATCTGGAAGGCTGTTTCAAGCCGAGTTTTGTTCGATACTTCTCTCATAGCTGCTATATTCACTAAGTTGGCTTTTATGGTATCGATGATAGCTAAGAAGGCATTTCCGTCTCTCCAACTTTCACCGAAATCTCGAACTTGAATATCAATATTCCTGAAGAACAAAGAAGTTTCCAATCCCGACATTGTAAAATCATCAAGAACTCCGCGTGGGTAAATTTATTTGCGTAAAATTCAAAAATCTGATGAAATACTGACTTAGGCAAGGCATTGGTGACCCACTGAAGCAAGGTTTTCCGTGCTCCTTGTTTCCACTTTTCACTACTGATGCGTTTTCTTTCGCTCGCCGCCGAACTCTGAGTGCCGAGGCTTTCCAGACTACTTTGGCTGCCCCAAGTTTGTCCAAGATATTCGAGAGCCCTCGTGTTTTCCTCGATCTACAAAAAATCGATTGATCAAGTCAAGTATGTACAAAATTTTCTCTTTTTCGAGCCTAGAAATAAGATAATCTGGCGTGCGTGTATTAATGAGATGCGCAATATCATGCAAGTGCACTTTGTTTGGTCTTCTTTAGAATATTCAAAATTATTTATATATAATTGATGATCTTACTTTTTTCACTACTCACCCGTTTGCGATCCTTTGATCGTAGCTTGTTTATTAGAACATATAGTTAGCAAAGTGATATAATTACTCTTTTTACAACGAGGATTATTTATCGGATTTATGTATACGCGAAGTGAGTTGAAAGTATTTTTGATTATATTTGAACCACGTTATCATGAATCAAATTATTTCAAAATAATTTTATCAATTTTTATCGATTATATAATTAACATTTAGAAGTTAATTCGAAATATTCAGTTTGCTAATAAAAATATTGAGTTTATGTATCACAGAATTAATAAAACTTACATATCGCAAGCTTAGAATTTTTTGTGGTCTAGTGTCTTTTGCTTTTATTCAATTCGTGAATCTAATATTGTATCTTAAGATACATTAGATACATTACAAAACGCAAAATTAATCCTCGTGTAATAGTATAAAAAATATGGTGCTGAATCATAGAATATAATACTTTGAATTACGTGATATGTTTTATCATGAGCTACATTTAAGCAGCTACTAATTACAACGGTGCTCTTTTACAATCGTCATTACGTATATTTAGCTAATTAAATATCCGAACGACTATAAATACCTGGAAGTACAGAATGATGGTCCATATTAAGCCCAAAACGACCGGCGGTCGTCCGTCGACCAAATCGGATGAATTAATATTCACTAATTTGATCTGCAAGAGTATCTGCTTGAGCATCAATTTTTTCGCATATTAATTTAAAATAGAATATCTGAGGTATTTACTTTTTGCTTTGCAAAAATTGCAGCGCGGTGTTGGCATTACTGAGAAAATGCGGTCTCTTTAAATTACGGCCCCTTTCCACGGGCTGAAAGATTACACATGATTTTGACAATTTATTTTAGTAATATTTGTTTCAAATGGTAGCGTATAAATATTTTGTTACCAATTTCTCTCCTGAAAGAACTTCAAGTAACGCAAGAAGGCGCGTTCCGTCTTTCAAGTCCTCGATTAAATCATTGATATGAAGTGTTGGTGCTCTCTGTGCAAGAAAATAATTTATCAAATTATGGTTGATTATATTTATATGATTTAATAAATAATTGTATTATTATAATTATAATAAATAATTATTTATCATCGTCTTTCTAAGATATTAATTTAATCTTTTTCTCGCTATGTTTACTTTAGTAATGTGAGTGAGTTTATTTTTTTTATTATTTAATGAAAAATTTAATACATTACTTTTTAAAAAATAAAAAAAATTGTAATACTTTTTTTCGAGTTTACAACAAAAACATAATTAAATGCAAGTCATTACAAAGATTGACAGATTGATATTTTGACAGTTTGAACATTCAAGAGCTCAATAGTGAATAGTGAATAATTTTATATAATTTTATTCGTTAATTATAAATACATATAGATTTTATATCAAATTTATATTTAAAATACAAAATGATTAAAAAATGATTATTTTGTTATTTAATTGTCTTCAACTATTTTAAAAATATAATTCTTTAAATTTCGTATCTTGTTATAATTATAATAATTTCATAATTTTTTGACAAAAAATTCCCACTGCAATAAATTGAATTTTCGTTGTTTCTCGATCGTATAAATCTGTAAAACAATATATAGCAAATTTCATTTATTTGTTACTTATTCTTTATTTGACAATATACATTCTTTGTGTCCAAGCGATTATTCTCTACATATAACAACGAATAGGACGCTCGTTTTAACAATTTTGCTACTTTTCATACATGACAAGTGGAGTTTCCGTACTGAGGCAAGTTCTGAAGGATGAGGAAATAGGGGAGTATCGAAACTTGAGAACCAGGTACGGACTAGATCAGACCACGTTCGAGTTTCGATAGCACGATACTAGAGACAGCGTTTTATTACACGTCACGTGAGGATCTAGAGACCCGTTACATAATCTCAAACAAAAAAATAAAAAATAGAATCGACTCATCGATCGGCTTTCGTATATTGTTAAAGTATCTGCCGATGAAAATGTAAACGCGATAAAGTTGCTGAGTCGCAAATCTTTCTTTAGTGTTTCGTAAAGGCGACAAAAATTTATTTTGACTCACCTTCGACAAATGAGAGTTAATCCAGTTTATGAAAGTTTTCTTCTGTACGCGTTCTTGTTCGTCTGAAAAAGAAATGCAAAAAATCAGATATTTTTTTAAGATTAATTATTATTAAAAGATAGAAAGAAATTATATATATATAATATTATAAATTATATTATATCATTATATAATATATTATTAATAAAATATAATATAATTATATAATATAATATATAATATAATTATAATATAATATATAATATAATTATAATATAATATATAATATATATAATATAATTATATAATAAAATTATTATATAAATTATTATATAAAGTTATTATATAAAAGATAAATTATTATATAATATAAATTATTATATTATATTAAATTTGTAAAATTTTGGAATTAATCTTCGAAATTGCGGTACATGTTTTTGAGAATAAATATATACACATTATGTAAATATACATAATATGTGTGATCAAGAGAATATGTGAAATAGTGTTCATATATAATTTCTCGACTTTTGTGAACTTGTGACTTTTTGTGAATCGTTGAAATCAATTATAAAGATTATGTGAAATGCATTAGTGTTGTTTTATTTTTAAATCTGGCGTCACTTTTTATCTTCTCACCTATGATTGGATTATATATGTACTATACACGAGATATATGGTACACACGCGATAATAAGTTCAACTAGCAGATGTGTGTTATACCTGCAGGTGCATATAATCATGAGACGAACATTAAATTGTCACATAAATTTTTTGTAATATGCAAATGTCATTCTCAATACGTTCTGGCTGCAAGAGAAACTAATTGTGTAAAAACCAATAGGCGAATATAGATTACGCTTTTTGATTATGCAATAAAGCGCTTTTAAATCTTTTATTTTTCAAATACGATTTTTTTACATTTTAGTTACAAATAATTTTTTAAATGTAAATTTTTTTACATTTTACTTAATTTATTAAAATAATTTTTATCTACGTTTCTTCATGATAAATTATTAAGTTTCACGTTTAATAAGTATCTCGTCTATTTTTAATAATAATATTTATCTTCAAAAGAGTAATTGTTTTCTTACGTATAAAAAATTAATTATTTTCGTAAGTATAAAAAAGAATAATGTTTTACAATAAAGATATTTGTAGCTATAAAATTTAATATGTGCAATTTAAATTATGATTTCTTTTTTCCGCCAACACATGCGTGTGCGAAATGATACATAATAATTCGCAGAAATAAAAATCTGTCGTTCCCAAAATAAAATGGCGTTTGATGTCATCAACACCCTGTGCCTTGTAAAACAGTGCTTTTTTTCATCGAGCCTTTAGCTTCATCATACATTATATCTTCACGTAGCAATTATTTTGCGGATTCACGCATCAACGCGCAACTCATTTTATGCGCGACTGTAATAAGCAAAACTGACAATTAACGAAAATGTGTCGTCTGACGCAATTTTTCTTCATTTATGAATTAGCAAATCTTTCACAATTCTTGGTTTTATTTATTTACTTTCTCGCTCGGATGACTTACCATATATAAATATGACACATTTTTTAATTTTTTATTTATAAGCTGTCTAGAAAAATGTAAAAGTCAATATACGACTTTAAGAAATTTGCAGTTCAGAAAAATACTTAAGAAAATAGTAAAAGAGCATTTGTTTTCGAATTTAAGCTGAAACATTTTGCTTTACAAAATTTTTTTTTCATAAGATTAACGAGAATGCATAATCTCAAACGCGCACACATACATACATAAATGTATAGATAACAAAAAGTTTCAAAAATGAGCTATTAAGGTTTCTATGTTTTTCATTGTAATCATATTGAATTACCCAGACGGTACACAATATTTATGATAAAGATTCATAAATATTTATCAATATATATTTTTTCAAATATTATATAAATATTTTGAAAATGTTTTATAACAACCTTTGTTTAATATATTATTAAAACATAAATTAAATATTTTATATAATATTTATGGCATGTAAAGATAAATATTTATAGTAATTATTTTGTAAATATTTTTAACTAAATTGTTAGTTTTTTCATTTATCGCTATGTGATGTATCTCTCTCGTCGTGAAAATTATATAAGACTGGCAAAAACAGAAATTAAGAAAATTAATATATTTTTGAGTTACATTTTGCAACAGAATGTCTTTTAACAAATAAATTTACGTATGTATCGATGTTTACATAAATTTATTTGTTAAACTACTCTGTTGCCTAAGTATATTCAGTGTATATTATAATTTTATATTCTATCTTAAAATAAATGTCTAATGTTACTTATAAACATTTTTAACTTTTTATAAATGGCTAATAGAATTTGGAAAAACACAAAAACATCTAATCGACCAAATTTTAGATTAAACTATATCAACCAATTGTTTTGATTAAAAAATCGTTGATTGTCTTTTTAACTCATGATTTCTTACTGAGTATTTATGAAAGAAAATATAAATTTAAAAAATCTGTATCATAATGATTTAATAAATATATTTATAATCGTAAATATTTTTGATATTTATGATAAATATTTATGATTTATTAAATCTAAAATTCCAAAAACGTTTATAAAATATTTATGATAAATATTTATAAAATATTGAAATAATTATTATAAATATTCTATAAACATTTTATAAATATTCTGTGCTATCTGGGGTATAGATAACAAGAAGTTTAAAAATGAGTTATTAAGGTTTCTGTGTCTTTCATTGCAATCATATTGAATTATCATATCAAAAGCAAAGAATTATATGATATTTTTCTTGCAAAATACATTAAAAAAAATTAGCTGCGATCAATCTTATTTAAAAATACGGGTTAGTAAAATATGTATAGAAAACTCTTTTTTGTTGTTTTACATTAATAAATGCATGTATACTTTATCTATATATGTACTAGATTTTTAATGTAAATCTTACGATTGATCAAGACTTATTATTTATTAATTCATAAATGAAAAAGAGTTTACATATTTTATTCATCTATATTATCATATATGCATTCACAATAAGTTAATTTCGATGTAGTTCGCAAGAATAAAACTTACATAATTTCTTACTTATGACGTTATAATTCAATATGATGTCAATAAGACATTAAGAATTTTAAATTACAAAATTCGTTTTTCTCAAATTTTATGACCATTTTAAAATTAATGTAAAAAATATAAATATAAAAGTTCAAATAAGTTATAATTCAGTTCACATAAATAATAATTAAAAATATATATTTTTGACAAACTAAAATTTGGGAAAGAAAATAGATTAGATAATAAATTGTTATAAAATAGATTAAATTATATTACTTAGACAACGATACAAATTTTAATTTCATCTATTTGCCAGGATATAATATAACAAAAATTGAAAATATAATATAAATAACATAATAAGTATATTAATTTTCCTTGATAATTTTCCTGACTTTATAAATTGACTAAAGAAATTCTAATTAGAAAATCTCTCTCTCTCTCTCTCTCTCTCTCTCTCTCTCTCTCTTCGGATATTTTGGAACTTTATATAGAATTATAAAAAATGTATATATTAGTGTAATGTATTATAAATAAATTAATTTGTCCCAGAAATAAATATTTTTATCGGCTCTCAATATAATAATATAAGTATGCTGTCTTCTAAGCTGGGCAATAGAGCCAAGGAAACGAAACGAAAAATTAATTAAACGGAACTGTATCTCAATTTGAGATCCCAAAGTTCCACATATAAATTAATTTCGAAACTTACATATGGAGAAATAAGCGAGAAAAATATAGGTCCGAAAAGTCGCTGAAGCGGGAATCGAACCCGCGTCTTTCACTTTCCGGGCGACTGCTCTTACCAAGCTCGCTTATTTCTCCATATGTAAGTTTCGAAATTAATTTATATGTGGAACTTTGGGATCTCAAATTGAGATACAGTTCCGTTTAATTAATTTTTCGTTTCGTTTCCTTGGCTCTATTGCCCAGCTTAGAAGACAGCATACTTATATTATTTATATTGAGAGCCGATAAAAATATTTATTTCTGAGTTTATTCACGCCTTGGGCTAATCACGGCGGTATTTACTAACATCTACTAAAAAGGCAAATGAAAAATATAGGATCGAAAGGGTCTGAATAGCTTAGTTGGTAAGAGCAGTCGCTCGGAAAGTGAAAGACGCGGGTTCGATTCCCGCTTCAGCGACTTTTCGGACCTATATTTTTCTCGCTTATTTCTCCATATGTAAGTTTCGAAATTAATTTATATGTGGAACTTTGGGATCTCAAATTGAGATACAGTTCCGTTTAATTAATTTTTCGTTTCGTTTCCTTGGCTCTATTGCCCAGCTTAGAAGACAGCATACTTATATTAAATTAATTTGTATATTATAAAATTAATAAAATCTAAAGAATAATGCAAAAAGGGTGCATTTTAATAACAATGTGGACTTCATAGAATCTATCGAGGCGTATGTGATAGCGGTTTAGAGAAACACTGACTTATTGAACTTTAGCGATATGCTTGAAGAATGATATGTTTGGGAAATTATAAATAGAAATTATATACTATCATTAGTCTTTATTTATTGCTTAATTTATGAGAACTATTTGATAGCGAGCTGTAGGCGAAGTTGAAAACTATGTTGTATTACAGGTCGCAGTATAAGTTAGATCATTCATCTTTCGCATATATTTACTCGCCGAACGATCGTAACCGTGACACTCACGAATGATGTAATATATGGTAATGGGAATGCGTAAAAATATTCTTTTCAGTATTAGAAAGAGCTCTTGCACGTCAGCTAATCAATTTTTCGCTCTTATGGTCAAACTGTAAATCGATTGGATATCGCGTCCCGCACACCAGACGCGTCAGCCAATCAGCAGCTCGCTCTTACGGACAAACGGTAAATCGATTGGATCGTATCTTCCTACGCGTGACGCGTTGACGCATCCTGCGCAGGAGCCCTTAGTATAAGATTGTATGCGTGTGAAGGGATATAGAATATTTTTTCACGCATTCTCATTACGATTCAGTGTCATGGTTACGGTCGTTCGGCGAGTAAACACACGAGACACAGTGCCTACATAATGAATGCCGATTACACAATTTCCTCCGCTGCCTGCGGGGTTATGTTACCTTGAATTATGATGTTAAAAGCGAGAATTTGGCAAGAAACTTGTTTCGCATGCAGACATAATTAACATAGATTAACGCATGCGTGACCAATACATTTTATCATTGTCCCACAAATATTTTATTGTAAATAAAGTTTTGTTAATAATAAATAATCATGTTCTTTCAAACATTTTTCTTAATATTTAATTTTTAAACGTTATTACTCAGACAGCACACAATATTTATGATAAAGATTTATAAATATTTATGACAATATATATTTTTCAAATATTATGTAAATATTTAAAAAATGTTTTATAAAAACCTTTATTTAACATATTACTAAAACATAAATTAAATATTTCATATAATATTTATGGTATGTAAAAATTAATATTTATAGTAATTATTTTGTAAATGTTTTAACTAAATTATTAGTTCTTTCATTTATCGTTATGCGACGTATCTTACTCGTATTTAATTTTCGTCGTGAGAATTATATAAGGCTGGCAAAACGAAAATTAATAAAATTAAAAATGTCATAAAATTTCTATTTTTGAACTGTATTTAACAAATAAATTTATGTATATATCGATGTGTATGTGTAAATTTATTTGTTAAATTACTCTATTGCCTAAGTATATTCGATGTATATTATAATTTTATATTTTATTTTAAAGAAAATATAAATTTTATAAAATCTGTATTATAATGATTTAATAAATAATTTATAATATTTACCATAATATTTATTCAGTCTCTCATAACTCGTCTAAGAGTCTTGACGTGTTGTCAAACCGACACTATGTTTGTTTTTGACACCTTAAAATTATAATTTTATTTTTATTTTCACAAATCACTTGATAAGGACTCAAAGAAGGGTCGAAACGTTGTGATTTAATAAATAATATTTGCCAGTACGGTCGAGAGAAGAGTGTTACTTTTATAATATTTATTGTTTATATTTTATGATATTTATGATAAATATTTATGATCTATTGAACCTAAGACTTCAACAACATTTATAACATATTTATGATAAATATTTATAAAATATTAAAATAAATATTACAGATATTCTATAAATATTCTGTGCTGTCTGGGTAAAGTTTAGAAAGTCTTATTAAAACTTAGAAAAATAATTATTATTTGATTATATTTATTATTTAGGTTTAAGAATCAATGTCAAAATTTATAAGTTTAAAATAATGAAATAAATATAAATCTCAAAATTGAAAAATGTTTGGATTTTTACAACAATTTATGTATAAATTTTTACAATAAATTCATATTTAGCTACTTGAAAAATTTATTTAAATTTAAATAAATTTTATTGAAAACTATTTGATAAATTATCAATAATTTAATTTGTAATTTTGCAGTAGTTGAGCCCATATTTAACCATGAATATCTTATTAACTATAGTTAACTCAAAACATTTCTTTCAAGAGTTGAAAATCCTGATAACTTAATGCAGAAAGAAAGTCCTAAATATTAATTTTGATTGTAGTAAAACTTCTGCAACACGTTGCATATCGTAACACACTATATAACATAACAAAATATTTATTTAAAATAATTATTTTTTAATTTCTTACAATTTTAATTGCAAATTTCTCAAAATTACAACATGATAAAAATCAATTTGTCAAACAAAATATTCAACATCAAAGACTTTGGAAAACGTCTTAGTTTCTTTGTGTTCGAAAAAGAATTATTTTTTATTGAACAGTAAATGCTGTCAACACTGTCAAATTTGACAATAATAATATGAAATTATTAAAAGTCATTTTAACTGAAAAAAAAACATAAATATATTATAAATTTTTTAAATTTTAACGTCAAATTTCTTGAAATAAAAATAAGTTTCAAGAAAATGTTATTTGACGTTTTTGATTTATTTTTGTACAGAAAATTGTCATTTTTTTTTATTGTGTTATGTTTTGCGACTGTATGATGAATAAGACAGATGCATCTTTATTATAAGCAGAAACACGCGACATATTGATTATGTAAGTTTAATTTCAGTCGACCCTATATCGAATGTCGTGATTCCTGGTTTCCGTGACAATTCAGAATGGCAAAGTACTCGTGCATTTCACGTGTTCGTCCGAATAAACTTTGAAAAAGATAGTCAAAGGCTAAAGGCAATATATTAATAGGTCTCATTATACGGCGTCATGGAAGATAATTGCGGTTGTAAAAATCAACATGACAGCAAAAAAATTTTAGGCATTATATATTTGACAAAAAAATATATATAAAAATGAAAAAACATACCATAGTTTTATAACTCGTACTTTAATTTTAT